GCTGGCGAACGCGTTACAGCACGCTCCACTGCATCCACAGCGCCTCATTCTGCAGAAAATAATTCTGCTCGCTACACCGACAATAATGTTTACGCCGGCACCAACAATGAGGCCATTCACCACGTTCTTGGTCTTCTTGCAGCGCTCCAGCGTGGCAATGGCGCCGATCCAGCACCGCCTCCGGAACCAGCACGCGTCGCAGTGGCGGCAGCCCCACGCTCTCGCCTCCCGGCGCCCGCCCCCGAGCCCGTGGACGACGAAATGGACGAGGAAGCACCCTATGCCACGGTCGACGAAGGTAATGCTGCCCGCCCAAAATCCGCTTCTGCAGCGCTCGCCCTTGCTCCTATTCCACCTGCACGTCCTCAGTTGCGCTCTTCCTTAGTTAAAAGCGATGGCATTCGTACGCAACTTTTTAGTTTTGAGCGCATTCAAGCTATTGCACGTCATGCTATTTCGGTTTTACCACCCGATGGTGGTGAACAAGCCACCGACTATCTCCAGCAGATAGTAGAGGAGGCGGAAGAAAAGATTCATTTTTTGTTTACCGCCGATCAACGCGGTTTTGAAGTGGCCAATATGGCCCTTAAGATCAAATACGGGGAAGTGGTAGAGGATAAGAATGCCAAGGCTGCTTCTCAGATTGTAACGGCTAGCAAGAAGAGGCCCACTCGGCCCACCCATTCCACATCCCGTCCTGAACCCCCTCTTCGCCCTCGAGGCCAAGGGGAGCGCCTTTGGAACACATGGCGTAGGGACGGCGACGGCCGTTGTTTCTATTGTCGTGAACCCGGGCATGGGATGGCTAATTGCCCCCAAAGAGGCCAAGGGGCCAATCGGCCGGCTAAGATTGTGTAAAGATTGCTTAACCTCTCCGATGTTGTAGCGTTCTTAATATATTAAAAAAAAAAAGAGAAAAAAAAAAAGACAACAACAACAACAAAATACACATTGATTATTGCACTCAAGTAAGATTAATACGCGCGTCATACGACCACATGGTCTCGCCCGTTGGGCCTGTGCAAGAAGACATGAACGTGCCCACAAGACGCTTACACAATGTGTGTGTGTCCTCTAAAGACTGCCGTTGATAAGACTCATGACAAGATTTCTATGTCATCACCATATATGACCACCAACTACAGCCCAGTATGCCAAGTTGACATGCCCAATCCAATGGTTTATTAATTAAGGGATGACGTGGCCGAAGAAAATAGCGAGCGAGTGGGCACCTATAATTAGCGTTTGCCTTCCTTCCCGACAAAAAAAAAAAAAAAAAAAAAAAAAAAACTCCCTTGTTGAGGTCGGAACTAAATGAGGTGAAGCACCTTCCTGACTCTCTACCGTCCCTATTTGTCTTCCCTCTCCCACCAGAGCTCGGAACCATTTCGGCCTATGCCGATGATGCAACCAAGATTACCCGCATGCAAGGCCGCCTCCGTGACCGCGCTGCATGGTGGTGCGCCTGGTGCGACAGCCGCTTGATTCTATCGGTGATTACATATGGATATCGCCTACCATGGGTTGCCTCTGAGCCCCCCCGTCTCGTACTAAGAATCATGCCGGTGCCTTGCAATTCACATCTTTCGCTGTAGGTGCAGTGGCCGAGCTTCTCGCCACCGGCGCAGCTCGGGTCGTACCTCCTTCCGCAACCCTTATATGCGTTAGCCCATTAAACGTGATTGTCCAACCCTCTAAAAAGAGGTTGATATTGGACTTGCGGCATGTCAACTCATTCCTCTCGGTGCCTCGTTTTCGATACGAAGGACTTACTCGCGTTCCTGATTTGGTGCAAGAAGGCGATTGGCTATTCACCATCGATCTCAAATCTGGGTACCACCACGTCGACATCCACCCCGCCTTTTGGCGGTTTCTCGGATTCTCCCTGCAAGGGCAGGACTACCAATTCCTCTCCTTGCCTTTCGGGCTGGCTACAGTGCCATTTGTGTTTACTCAGTTAATTAAGCAACTCTCCAAACGCTGGCGTAGCCATGGCATCCGCCTTATTCCATACGTCGATGATATCCTATTCATTAGTGCCACTCGAACGGAGGCACTTCACAACCGCTCCATAATCATCGCCGACCTTGCAGCCGCGGGCTTCGTAGTGAATTTCAAAAAATCACAACTCGCGCCGGCACAATCTTTGAAGTTCTTGGGCCTCTTGCTGGACACGCGCACCACCACATTCTCTGTCGATGCGGATCGGCGCGATCGGCTGTTTGCCGAGCTGGATGAATTAGGCACACTCGGCGCTAACGGGCGTCGCATCCCTGTTCGCCGCGTTGCCCGCATCACCGGCATGTTGGCCTCCATGTCCTTGGCACTTGGCACCGTCGCGCGCGCCTTCTCCCACCACCTTCTCGCTCAGATCGCCGAATGCCACTCATGGGGGGCGGCCATTCTCCTAACCCCTGAGTCTGTTGAAGAGCTGCGTTTTTGGCTCACACTGTTCGACATTTTCAACGGCGCCCGCTTCCACAACCCGCATTTGTATGACGTTGTCATGTACGTGGATGCTAGCGACCATGCCTGGGGGGCTTGTTATTCCGCGCCGGATGGTCGTGTCGGCTCGCTCTCCTCCCCGCTGCCTCTAGCCTTCTTGGGCTCGTCCAGTACCCTTCGCGAGTTGGCCGGAATCTTTTGGTCCCTTTCGGCCTTTTCTGTCGAAATCCGGCGTTCGCACATCTTGCTCCGCAGCGACAGTCAGGCGGCCTACTACATCCTCCAGAAGGGAGGCTCTCGCCGTCCCGAGCTTACCTTCGTATGCCGCGCGATTATTCAATTGTGCGTGCGCCATATGATCCGTCTCACGGTCCAATGGATTCCCTGTGCGCTGAATACTGAGGCCGATGCTCTGTCCAAGATTGAGCTCCACGACGACTACTCCTTGACACGTCCTTGGTTTCTGCTGCTGGAGAGGCATTGGGGGCCTCATACCATCGACTTGTTTGCATCCCCTGCCAATGCGCAGCTCGCTCGTTTCTGCTCCCTCGAGTTCTCACACTCGGCGGTTGCGCAAGATGCCTTTTCTATTAACTGGGGACACGAGAATTGCTTCGCCTTTCCTCCACCCGCCCTCATCCCGGCTGTCCTAACTCATGCCCGTCGCTCGCGCACTTCTCTCACTCTCGTGATCCCATATTGGCCTAGTGCTTTTTGGTGGCCTTTGCTAAGCCTGGACGGCTTCACTTGGGGCCCGGAGGTCGTTATGGCCCTTCGCCTTACCCTGGGTGCTAGTTGTTTACGTGTTGGCAGTGACCGTTATGCCTTTAGCGGTGCCGGTCTTCCGAACTCTCCAATGTATGCGCTTCGTTTTGCATTCAACTAATGTAGCATTTTATTTCACTGCGCAGGCTCATATATTGGTCGATTATTGTCGGACCTTCTCACACTCACCGTCGATCTTCGGGCAAAGTCTACCCTTCGCACTTATGAACCCTATTGGCGACAGTTTCGAGCCTTCTGTTTGGCGCACTCACTTCCCTTCCTTCCCGCCACCGACCTGACATCGGCCCTCTTTCTGCTGCACTCGGTCCGTCGCGGCGCTACCGTCTCAGCTGTGCGCACTGTGTGTTCCGCCATATCCTGCGCCCATTGGCTGGTCGGCCACCCCTCCCCGATTCACGGCCCCTTTTCTTCGCAAGTCAAGGATTATGCCATGCGTCATTGTGGCAAGCCATCTCAAGCGAAAGAGCCCATTCCTCCCGCCAAGATTTACGATATCTGTGACCTCTACTTCTCCTCGCATGATCCGGCCACATTCCATCGGGGCCTTATTCCCCTCCTCATGTTCGCAGCCTTCCTTCGTTTCTCTGATCTCATCTCCCTCCAGTGGCGCCAGATCGAGTTCGATCGGGACTGCATGTGGTTGTTCATCCCCCGTTCGAAGACCGACCAAGCGGGCACCGGTGTTTGGGTCCCAGTGGCTGTTTCTTCTGCCCGCCACTGTCCGGTGTGGCGTGTCCAACAGTTCCTCTTCCTGGCTGGCTATTCTCCGCAGACCCTTGGCCCCCTTATTCGTATATTTCAGCCAGGTGCCCGAGCTTCCCCCTCAGATCGCCCTCCCTCGTACGCCGCCATTCGGGGTTAGTGTCGAGATGCTTTCTCCCGTGTCGGCCTCAACCCAGCCCTCCTGGGCACCCATTCTTTCTGCAAGGCAGCTGCGACGGTCGCTGTTGATGTTGGAGTCCCCGACCGGCTTTTCAAGGCCCTCGGCCGTTGGCGAAGTGATACAGCCAAGGAGCTTTACATTACTCAGCTTGACCGCGAGCTAGTGGCCGCTTCTCGCATGCTACAAGATCCTACTCGCTCGAGCGCGACCGATCGGTACCAGGCCACCCTTGAGCGCCACCGTCGACGCCCTCACACTTGATGTCTCGTTCGACCTATGACGACTGCACTGCACACTCCTCTGAGGTCGTGTCACAATATGAGAAATTTTTTGTAATGAAAAATTTACAGATTGTGATTCGACTAGAAGAGGAGTTTGTTGTAAAGGAGACAAACTCCTTCATCTATCGGCAGGTCTTTCAGTCCTGCCACCTAGTCTCATTTGCATTTTTCTGTTCCAACTTGCCCACCCTTCCCTCCCTCGCTTTGATAACTAGCATGGCCGCTCAGCCTTGTTCCCTTGCCATGTATTTGCCCTATCTAGTGTGCTGTATTATGGAGCTATGATATGCTATGACGACTGCACTGCACACTCCTCTGAGGTCGTGTCACAATAGCCTTGTGCTCCTTACCTAATCAATCATTTTAGCTCTATTTCTTACAACCCGTACTGTAATACCGGGACGATTATTTGTCCTCGCTGTCGCGCTGACTTGACTCTTGTTCTTCCGACTGTTGAGTTGCGAGGTCAATGGTCTGCGATCGTTGCCCTTTCGTGACCTCTGTGACGTGTCGTCAGACTGCGTCAACTGTCAGAGATACTGTAGCAGTATTTGACTCGGTAATCCTCGATTTTGTGCCTTTCGTGTGTCGTGACTGCAAGTGAGACTAAGTCCTTGTATAATTTCCAACAAGTATACACCGACATGGTTGTACGTTCACATACCTAGCTGTAACAAGGCTCGTGAGAAAACTTGCAAGCAGGATGTTACAATATACAAATACTAGCTACAAGTGAGCCCTCTTCCCAGAGGATGGTAGTGAAGCCTATCAGCATGTGTCCCCAGCCCGCCCGTCCACCATGTGCTTCTCCTCCGTCACCTGCTCCTCTGACCCCCCCACACCACTCCCCTCTGCACTCGCCCCAGGCCCCCTGCTCTCCTCCTGCTCCACTCCCGCCTCACCGCCAATCAAACGTCCCTCATTGGTGCATGCAGCTGCGCTGGTGCTGGTGGCAGCGTTGGATTGCCGGTGGCGCCAGTCGGAGAAGGATGGGGAGATGGCGACGGGGGACGCAGGGGAGGCTGGGTGTGAGGATGGGCTGCTTGGATCAGAGGGAGGCGATGCGAGGGGCGCCGCACAAACGGATGGCGCCACGGTGCTAGCAGCCTCTGCTGCCGCGGTGCACGTGCCATGCGATCCTTCCCTGCTCGCGCCGTGTAGTCCCTCGGGACTTCGTGCACTGCTGCCGTCGGCTGCTGCCGACCCTGCTGCTGCCCCTGCCATTCCTTCCCTCAGGCTCACCTGTGCATCCTGTGGCCCACACCCATCAACACGCCCCTCCTGCTGCTGCTGCTGTTGCTGTGGCATGCGCGCATGAGCATCAGGCGCAGCAGCAGCGGCAGCAGGCTGCGCAGCATCAACCCCACCTGCGTCCACTGCACCGGCACTTCTGGCCCTCACCATGGGCCCAGCCATGCCTCCCGCGTGCTCCATGCCCTGCCCCATGCCCATGCCCAAACCCTGCCCAATCCCGTCTCCAATGCCCATCCCCATACCCATCCCCACGCCCTGAACGCCGGCACACACGTGGCCGCCGTGCAGCACTGAGGGCATGGAGTTGGCGCGCACGGCGGTGCTGGGCGCGCCGTGCATGCTGCTCTCCAGGATCAGCCCCACCACGCGCCCCTCCTCCTCCTCCTCCCCGCCGCCGCCGCCGCTACCAGGGAACTCAGCAGTGGCGGCCCGAGCAGCGCCAGGGAAGGCAGGCGCGTGCAGGCTGCCAGCAGCAGCAGGGCTGGGCGCAAAGAGGAAGTGGGTGGCAGCAGCGGCGGAGGCGGGGAGCGAGGGCAAGGGGAAGAAGTGGTTGCGCAGGTCGGAGAGGAAGCCGTGGCCGTGGAACGAGGGGGACGACGGCGACAGGGCGGGGGGGGCGTGGGTGGGGGGGAACGGCAGGTACACGCCATGGGCGGCCAGTGGCATGGCGGATCCTGTGGGTATTAGAACAGTGGGGTCAAAGTGTGCCGCCATTTCGTCACCGCCTCCCTGCTCCCCCCGCCCTGCCCCCCTTTCCCCAACGGCGCCCTCCATCCTGTCGTCCAGCCCCACCACGCGCCCACTGGAGGCCGTGCGCAGCAGCGGCCCGCCTGCACGCATCCACGCCAGTGCAGCGCTCTCCCTCTCGCCATCGCTGTCGCTGCTCTCGCCCGCCACCGCCGCTGACCCACTGCCTCCAGCCCCGTGGCCACCCGCCAATCCTGCAGCGCCAGATGTCCCCATGGCAGGCGGTGCAGCGGCGCCCCCGTCGTCGTCCAGCGACCCCCAGGAGCCGGCGCGGGCGAACTGGTTCCACGAGGGGATGCGCTTCGCAAACGACCCGCACGCCCCCCCGCCCGGCACCGCACCGCCCGACGCCGCACCTGGCCCCGGCCCTGCCGCCACAGGCAGGCCTGTCACCATGCCGGCAGCCCCTGCTCCCCCTGCTGCTCCCCCGTGCGCACCTGCCCTGCGCTGCTCGTCCGTGTGCCCCGCGCCAATGGACGGCAGCGACGGGTGCGACAGCGTCCGCCCGGCAAGGCCAAGCGCGGACGCGGGCGCGAGGGGGCGGGCAGCGAGGGCGAGGTGGCGGCGGCGGTGGTGCAGGATGGAGACGCACTCGTCCAGCATGAGCTCCACGCCGCAGTGCGCGCGGATGGCGCTCAGCCGCTCCCACGTGCCGCGCCGCCCCTGCTGGATGGCGGCGCGCAGCTCCGAGGGGGTAGGGTTCTGAATGATCTTCGCGAACTGGAAGGGGGGGGGAGAGGGGACACGCATGGGCATGGAACAGCCCACCGCCAGACCCTAAACCAGAACGGAAAACCTGGACTCTTAAACCTGACGGTGCGATCCAATTTGGCTCCCCCCCCTCCCCCCCCCACCTGCGCAAGCGTGGCGTGCATGACGATGGTGATGTCCCCCTCCCACGGCTGCGCAAACAGCTTCGCCAGCCCGCCCACGCGCCACCCCACCGCCAGCGCCTGCTGGCAGCGGTGCTTCAGCTCCATCTCCGCCAGCTGCGCCGCCTGCCAGAGGGGGACAGGGGAGACACGTGCGGTTGGAGCAGCAGAGAAGCGTTGAGAGGTATCAATAGATACCTGCATGGGGGTGTGCTGGGGGTGCAGTGGCGGTGCATTGGGCTGGGGGGAATGACATGGGCGAGGACGCTTAGAGGGGAGGGCAGGCACGGGAGGAGCAGGTGTAGCGCCAAGTGGCAAGGCAGCCACCAGACGCCTGGCTCACACCACAATCTCGCCACCGTATTGTTCACCCTCACGCCCCCTTCCACCCTTCCCCCAGCTCACCTCACCACCCCCCCCACCCTCTCACCTTGGCGGCCCAGTCGCCCCCGTAGAGGCGGCAGGCGGCTTTGAGGCGCAGCAGCGGGGCGATGTGGGGGTTGGCCTGGGCGACAATGAAGTGGTTGACGTTGAACTGCTCCCGCAGCTCCTGCATCGGCAGATCCGCCTCCAGACTGCCGTCCCGCCACGCCCGCTGCTTCACCGGCTGCGGCTCCTCTGGGCCCGCCTGCACCGGTAGAGTGGGAGGGGCGGGCGCAGGGCGAGCGATGGGCAACAGCGACCGGCACTCGCCAGGCAGCTAGGCAGCTAGGCAGCCAGGCAGCCATGCACGCTGCTTGAGCTGCTGGCGGCCTCTGCCTCACACAGATGGCGATACAGGCAGGCATGGCGTCTGGGGTGCGTGGAGGGGTGGGAAAGGGGACGAGATGTGACGCGAGCGACAGGGAGCAGGTGAACGAGGGAGGAAACGAGAGGATGGGATGGGAGGGTGCGATAAGAGCAAGAGCGGGGGCGAGTGTTACACTGGTAGAGGCTGGCATCTTCCAAATAGCATGTGGAAGGGCACTCGCCTCTGACGGCATGTGGAAGGGCACGATGCGGCCGGCGCTGTCCTTGGCCATGAGCTCCTGCGCCTCAAACAGCCCCGGGAAGGCGCACGACGCTGTCACCGCGCTCCAGATCACTACGTGCGGCGCACTCAGATACGTCAGCAGGCGGTGCGGCTCCTGGGGGCGCATGGAGCACACCGGGATGCCCAGCACGCGGCCTGTGGGCGGGTGGCCCGCACGCAGGCAGGCACGCAGGCACCATGCACACCGCACGCACAAGAAAGCACACGGCACGCACACGGCACGGAGGTAGGCAAAGGAGAAGAGAGAGGTGAGGCAGGAGGCATGGGGAGGTTGGGGATTTCCTATTTGTCCTCGGCCGGATACAGCTAATTTGGCTCACCAGGCAACCCCCACTATACGCCCCTTGTGCCCCCTGCCCCCGTGCGCCATTGCCTTTGCTCCTCTGCCTGTGCGCCCCTGCCTGTGCTGAAGTGCAATGCTAGAAGCTTCAAAGTGGACCCACCCGAGAGGTCGTAGGCCTCCTGGAAGGTGAGGTCGCCAATGAGCTGCCGGAGGCGGCGCTGCAGCATGCCGATCTCGCCGATGGCGCCTCTGGTCAGCAGGCGCTGCGCTGTGGCGAAGAGGGACCCCATGCTCTCGAAGAAGGTGAGGTTACCCATGCCCTCGTCGCTGAACGCCGCCAGCTCCGACGCGGTGCGCGTGGCGACGAAGGAGCAGATGATGGACCCCACGGACGCGCCCGCCAGCACACGCGGCAGCACGCGGTGCTCGATGAGCGTGCGCACCACGCCCAGGTGGAACGCGCCCAGCGCCGCCCCCCCCGACAGCAGCAGCGCCGTGCGGCCGAAGGCGTGGCGCACCTCGTGGATGAAGGCGAGCTTGGCGTCCAGCGGGAAGGCGTCGCTGTGCGAGTCGCACACGGCGCGCAGGTGGTAGCGCACCTCCTCTATGTACTCCTGGACCAGCCGCGGCATCTGAAGAAGGGGGGGGGGGACGGGGCGGCGGAACGGAGGGCCGATGGAACGACAGAAGATGAGGGCTTGACGTGTTGGGAAGCGAAACGAGAAAGCCAAAATGAGGGCGGGAGGTGATGAGGAGGGAGGTGATGAGGAAGGAAGTGATGAGGCAGGAGGTGATGAGGCGGGAGGTGATGAGGCGGGAGGTGATGAGGGAAGTTCAGCCTCCCTCGTCTCACCTGCAGCCCGCCCCGGACTGACCTGCAGGCGGCCCTTGTGCAGGTCGGGGTTGCACATGTTGCCCTCCCTCTCACCTGCAGGCGGCCCTTGTGCAGGTCGGGGTTGCACATGTTGCCCAGGTTCCTCAGCAGGTCGGACCGCATGGCGAACACGATGCCCTCCACGCCGCCCTCCAGCCGCCGCCGCCTCAAGTCGCCCAGCTTCGCGCGCACCAGATCCTCGTCGTACAGATCCGAGTCCTGCGCGTGCCACGGGAAACAAGGGGGGGGTGGGCGGAATTGCGAATGGGATTTGAGGCAGCGAGGCACTTGTTGCTGGCGCGCAGCAGATGGTCGTCGTGCCGATCCTCGTCGTGCCGATCCTCGTCGTGCCGATCCTCGTCGTCGTTGTGCCGATCCGAGTCCTGACGAGGGAGCGGGGCGGACGGGGGAAGGGGAGGGAGGAAGGGAACTGAGAGCGATGTTTGAGTCGACTCATTACACACGGAAGGGGAGGGAGGAAGGGAACTGAGAGCGATGTTTGAGTCGACTCATTACACACGGAAGGGGAGGGAGGAAGGGAACTGAGAGCGATGTTTGAGTCGACTCATTACACACGGAAGGGGAGGGAGGAAGGGAACTGAGAGCGATGTTTGAGTCGACTCATTACACACGGAAGGGGAGGGAGGAAGGGAACTGAGAGCGATGTTTGAGTCGACTCATTACACACGGAAGGGGAGGGAGGAAGGGAACTGAGAGCGATGTTTGAGTCGACTCATTACACACGGAAGGGGAGGGAGGAAGGGAACTGAGAGCGATGTTTGAGTCGACTCATTACATACGGAAGGGGAGGGAGGAAGGGAACTGAGAGCGATGTTTGAGTCGACTCATTACACACGGAAGGGGAGGGAGGAAGGGAACTGAAAGCGATGTTTGAGTCGACTCATTACACACGGAAGGGGAGGGAGGAAGGGAACTGAGAGCGATGTTTGAGTCGACGCCTTACACACGGAAGGGGAGGGAGGAAGGGAACTGAAAGCAATGTTTGAGTCGACTCATTACACACGGAAGGGGAGGGAGGAAGGGAACTGAAAGCGATGTTTGAGTCGACTCATTACACACGGAAGGGGAGGGAGGAAGGGAACTGAAAGCGATGTTTGAGTCGACTCATTACACACGGAAGGGGAGGGAGGAAGGGAACTGAGAGCGATGTTTGAGTCGACTCATTACACACGGAAGGGGAGGGAGGAAGGGAACTGAGAGCGATGTTTGAGTCGACTCATTACACACGGAAGGGGAGGGAGGAAGGGAACTGAAAGCAATGTTTGAGTCGACTCATTACACACGGAAGGGGAGGGAGGAAGGGAACTGAAAGCGATGTTTGAGTCGACTCATTACACACGGAAGGGGAGGGAGGAAGGGAACTGAAAGCGATGTTTGAGTCGACTCATTACACACGGAAGGGGAGGGAGGAAGGGAACTGAGAGCGATGTTTGAGTCGACTCATTACACACGGAAGGGGAGGGAGGAAGGGAACTGAGAGCGATGTTTGAGTCGACTCATTACACACGGAAGGGGAGGGAGGAAGGGAACTGAGAGCGATGTTTGAGTCGACTCATTACACACGGAAGGGGAGGGAGGAAGGGAACTGAAAGCGGGGATTCGACGCAGTGAGAAGCGTGGAGCGCAGCGTGCCTGGGCCCTGACGGGGGAAGGGGGAGGGAGCGGAGATGAGGATGGAAGACAAAGCGAGCATTCTAACGATGCTGGCTCCCGCCTTTTCTCCTCCCAACCCTCGGCTAATGCGTCCCTCCGTTCCCACCCGTCGTCCCGTTTCCTTCTCACCCGTCCCCGCATCTGCTCTCACCCGTCCCCGCATCTGCTCTCACCCGTCCCCGCATCTGCTCTCACCCGTCCCCCCATCTGCTCTCACCCGTCCCCGCATCTGCTCTCACCCGTCCCCGCATCTGCTCTCACCCGTCCCCGCATCTGCTCTCACCCGTCCCCCCATCTGCTCTCACCCGTCCCCCCATCTGCTCTCACCCGTCCCCGCATCTGCTCTCACCCGTCCCCCCATCTGCTCTCACCCGTCCCCCCATCTGCTCTCACCCGTCCCCGCATCTGCTCTCACCCGTCCCCGCATCTGCTCTCACCCGTCCCCGCATCTGCTCTCACCCGTCCCCCCATCTGCTCTCACCCGTCCCCCCATCTGCTCTCACCCGTCCCCGCATCTGCTCTCACCCGTCCCCGCATCTGCTCTCACCCGTCCCCCCATCTGCTCTCACCCGTCCCCCCATCTGCTCTCACCCGTCCCCCCATCTGCTCTCACCCGGCGCCTCGCTTGGTACTTCTCGAGCATGGCGGCGGCGTGCGACCACTCGTCGTACGTGAGGGCCGTCGCCATCAGATTCGCCCAGAACTTGCGTCGCACAGCCAGCTCCGCCTTGAACGACCGCAGGCGATATCGCCGGACGACCAGCGCGCCGAGGACGACGGTGCCCAGCACGACCCCGGGGTTGCGCGGGTTGAGGCTCGTCCACGCCTGGCGGACGAGCCTCGCGAGGAACTTCTGAAGCTTCGCAGCTCGGCTGACCAGCCTGTGGCGGAGGATCGCGAGGAGTCGGCGAAAGGAGTCGCAGAAGATGAGGCGAATGGCGACGGCTCGCTCGGCGAGAGTCGCCGGAGCGAGTCTGAAGAGATCGACGACCGCCTCCTCCGCGGACTCCATGGCGCGACGCCGATGACAACGACGACAGCGGCGGCGGCGGGGAGCTGAGGTAGCTGATAAGACGGGCTAGTTGCTTCACGGATGCTAAAGCTGATAGCTTGACAAGGCCACTCCTTGCATAGAGCCACGCACACTAAACCAGGCTCTAAACGGAACGCGAGCTGGCTTGAGGGAAGGCCGCCGCCAATAAGGGCAGCGATAGTCACACGGGAGGCCAGCTTCTGCTCCATCCAAGCCCGAGGTGCTGGCTCAAGTCCCTCCCCTACCCCCCCTCACCTCAACGCCCACTCCCCTCCCGCACACTCGCTGCGTGCCTCACTCGCCATCGCGTAATCGAAGGGCAAAGCTACAGGCTAGGTTCGGACAGCCCCGAGGCTCGGCGAGCAACCGAAGGTGCCTGCTTGTAGGTTTGGCTCCGGTCTGGTTTGTCGGTTGCGCGACCTTGCATTTCCGCGGCGCAGATCGGCCGCTTGCGTCAGCGTTGCCCCAGCATGACCTGTTTCTGAGAAAATCCACCGTCAGCAACGAGTAAGTAACCTGCTGCCTGATGGACATCTGGCGAACGCATTTCGTGGTTGGTGCCGCCACCATAACTGGGACTGGATGCTAAGGATGCATGCGTGTAAATATGTTTTTGGGAAATTTGCTGCCAGATGGGCAAAATCGGGAGGCTGATCTGTACGGGCACGATTTGATCTCAAAACTAGAATACGTCATCTTTCCGTCGTTACGAACAGTTCTGAATCATCGAAATTTGCGTCGTTTTCTGTTCTGATCGACGGAAAAATGTATCGACCATTCAAAACGCGACACATAGGCACAAACCTGTCTCAACCCAAAAAACGCAACCGAACACCTCGGTTTTCGTTAATAATTTCGCTAGTGGCCCTTCTTCGTTATCCGCACCATAAATGACCCAGAACTCCGGAAAATACAACTAAGTGGACAGTATTAGTATGATTTTTTTCGCTGACGTCTATTCTCCATAAGTCATACAATATTTCTGAAATCATGCTATGCAAAACAGAGACAAGAAATTTGAAAAAAAATGATGAACTACAAGCAAGTTTGTGCTCAAGAAAATATTATATATGTGAAACAAATCAGAGTTGCCATCGGAAAAAACTAAAAGCATCGTATCACGAATTCATTTTGGGCCAGGCCCCTATATATCAGCCCTTTTACGCTGATTCAGCCTTTTTTCAGCCTTTTTTCTTGAACCTACGCTGAACTGTAAGACTTTTTGAGATAGGTAAGGCTCACAAATTCAGCCTTTTGTTTATAGTGATGTCTGTTGATTTTAGCGTTTTTGTTGGAGTGTAGGCTGAGGTTTCAGAGATGTGTCTGGGGGGAGTCTGAAACCGAGTACAGCGAGATTTGCGTCCCCCCGTGATTACCGCATCCAATCACACACACCCCCAAGAAGAAAATCTCGAAGTCCTCGACCAGTCACACTCCTCTCATACCCTCGGCAAACTAAAAGATTTTGTTGAAGTCCTTGGAAACCAGTCACACCCCCTCTCGTGACCCCCGCAACCTTGGAGAATTCGTGCAAGTCCTTAGCAACCAGAAACACCCCTCACACCTCCCCCCCAGCCAGAGAGCCGAACAGGGCTCACGATAGACGGGTAATAATCCGGAATTTCGATGAAATTCCGGATTTTTCCAGCGAAACCCGTGCCGGAATAAAATCCGGATTGGCTAAACGGGCCTGAAATTTGCCCGTTTGAAAGCCTATTCTATCCTTTCGACGAGCTCCACGTCCGTGGGACCTTATAAATGCACAAACTGAGGCATCAATATTCAATTCGGGAAGAATCCGGATAAAAAAAAAACCCAATCGTGAGACCTGGAGCCGAAGTCTCGACTCTACTGTAGCTATCACGCTAGTCCTTTACCCTGGGGTGGGGGTGTCAAACATGTTTAGTTATCATGCTTGTATAGACTGTATAGGGTCATCTTCTAGAGAGTACAACTGTTAGGTATATGTTTGTGTACTCTCTCTCTCTCAATCATTAATTTCACTGTTTGATATGGTATCACGCGTAGGTAGGATCCCCCCCCCCCCCCCCCCCCTCACGCTTCCGCTCGCCCCCTAGCTGGGCCCCGTCGTGCTCCTAGCCCCGTCGCGACCCTCCCTCGCCCCGTCGCGACCCTCCCTAGCCCCGTCGCGCCCCTTCCTGGGCCCCGTTGCGCCCCTTTCTGGGCCCCGTAGCGCCCCTCCAGGGCCCCGTCACGCTCCTCCCAGGCCTCGTAGCGCCCCTCCTGGGCCCCATTGCGCTCCTCCCAGGCCCCGTCGCGCCCCTTCCAGGGCCTGGTAGCGCCCCTCCAGGGCCCCGTCGCCCTCCTCCCAGGCCCCGTAGCGCCCCTCCTGGGCCCCATTGCGCTCCTCCCAGGCCCCGTCGCGCCCCTCCCTAGCCCAGTCGCGCTCCTCCCAGGCCCCGGTAGCGCCCCTCCTGGGCCCCATTGCGCTCCCCCCAGGCCCCGTCGCGCCCCTACCTGGGCTTGGTAGCGCCCCTCCAGGCCCCGTCGCGCCCCTCCCCAGCCCCGTCGCGCCCCTCCCAGGCCCCCCCTCGCGCCCCTCCCAGGGCCCGTAGCGCCCCTCCTGGGCTCGTAGCGCCCCTCCTGGGCCCGTAGCGCCCCTCCTGGGCCCGTAGCGACCCTCCTGGGCCCCGTCGAGCCCCTCCTGGGCCCCGTCGCCCCTGCTCGGCCCCGTCGCGGCCTCTCGGCCACGTGGCGCCCGCCCGGCCCCTGTCGCGGCTGCCCGGCCCCTGTCGCCCTGCCCGGCCCCTGCTCGCCCGCCCGGCCCCGTCGCCCCTGCCCGGCCCTGCTGTGTCCTGCCCGGGCCCCGTCCCTGCCGCCCGACCTTGTCGCTGCCGCCCGGCCCCGTCGCAGCCGCCCGGCCCCGTCGCCTCTGCCCGGCCCTGCTGTGTCCTGCCCGGCCCCGTCCCTGCCGCCCGGCCCCGTCGCAGCCGCCCGGCCCCGTCGCAGCCGCCCGGCCACGTCGCAGCCGCCCGGCCTTGTCGCTGCCGCCCGGCCCCGTCGCCGCCGCCCGGCCCCGTCGCAGCCGCCCGGCCCCGTCGCCGCCGCCCGGCCTTGTCGTGCCTGCCCGGCCCTGACGCGCCTGCCCCGGCCCTCCTTACTTCCTGGTACTGTCCCCCGTTCCCCGCACCACTTTGCACCCTCCTTCACTTTCCTGCCCCGCCTTGCACCGCATTGCACCTCACTGGACCGCACCGCCCGCACTGCACCGCACTGGACCGTACTGCACCGCACTGCATTGCACTGCACCGCACTGCATTGCACTGCACTGTCCTCCACTGCCCCTCATGGCTGCTGAGCTTCGTTTTGATGCTGAGGGTCAGCCTCTGGAGTTCGAGGCGTGGTTGGCTGACCTTCGCCGCCACCTCACTGGCCAGCGGCAGGACGGCCACCCGCTTTCTGCACACCTAGACGGTATGCTCCCCTGCCCTGACCCCCCTGCTGTGCTGCCCGCTGATCCCACGCCCGCTGAGCGCGAGTCCACTGCCGCTGCTGCCCTTGCCCGCTCTGTCTGGCTTTCCCGCGATGCCCTTGCTCAGCTCGCCATTAGCAATGCCCTCCCCCCCCTGAGCGCCCTCGCTTTAGAACCATTACTACCGCCCAGGCCTACCTTGATGCTGTCATCAAGCGCTATTCTACCCCTCCTGCTGCCTCAGTGGGTCGCCTGATCCTTCCCCTGCTCTTTCCTGACCTGGCGTCTTTCCCCACTGTCTCTGACCTCGCTGCCCACCTGCGCTCGATAGATGAGGCCTGGCGCGCTGCCTGCACTGATGCACAGCTTAGAGTCCACCAGCCTCCCATGACCTCCACCCTCTACCTCCTTGCCACCCGCCTCCCTGACCGCCTTGCCGCCGCCCGCGACCAGTTCCTTAGCATCCATCCTGCTGCTCTCACCCTCACCGACTTTGTTGACACCCTGACTGCCATAGAGACTCGTCACCGCTCCATAGCCCAGGCGAGCGGTACCGTACCGGTCCCTATCTTTCAGGGTTGTGCCCCCGCTCAGTGTACCTTCTCCGACGGCTCTGTCGCTGTGGCTGAGACTGCTGCTGCAGTGCAGTCCCGCTCGGCGAAGGGCCGCCGCCCCAAGGTTGGGAGCGGCGGAGGCGGCGGGGGTGCGGGTGGGGGTAGTGGTGGAGGCGGGTCGTCCGGTGCCGGTGCGGACGTGGGGACCCTGCCCGGTCCAGCTGCCCCGCTGCCTCCACCGTTGCAGCAGCAGCAGTCGCCGCAGCCGCAGCAGCCTTCGCAGCAGCCGCAGCAGCCGCCGCAGACGAGGCCGGCGAGTGCTCTCCCGCCTGGGTGGCCTGGAGCTGGTGGTGGTCGTGCGCGTGGTGGTGCACCGGGTGGTGGTTCTGGAGGCGGGCCCTGTCAGTACCAGATCCAGACCGGTCCTCACCGCGGCTTCGTTTGCGGTAAGATCGGTCATTCTACTCCTCGCTGTTTTCGTCGTCTGGACGACCTGTTCCGCCAGCGCTTTGGCCCGGCGCCCGACCTCCCGGACTGGCACAGCTTGCTTAGGCGTAGCATTAGGATTTTTGACTTGGACATGGATGCCATTGTAGCAGCCTTGCATGTGATGTATGCTGATGACTCTAGTGTGCTTCCCTCTTATTACCCCGTGTTGCCTAGTGTAGCGGTGCCTAGCGTAGACTCGCCTGCTGCGTCAGGCGTAGGATCTCCTGCTTTGCTTAGCCTTGGTGCTTCCACCGCTTCACTGCCGCCTCACGCGACTGCTGCGCTTTCCTTCACCTTGGACTCTGGCACCTCCCGGTGTTTCTTCCGCGACTCCACGACGCTGACGCCGTTGCCTGTTCCCGCTGCCGTTACTCTTGCTGACCCCTCCGGTGGTCCCGTCGTTGCCCGCAGTTCCACCTCCCTTCCCTGTCCGGCGGTTCCTTCAGGTTCGCTCACCGGTCTGCATATCCTCTCGTTCTCCAGGAACCTAGTTGGTGTCGGCTGCCTCAAGGACCTTGGCGTCACCACTACGTTCCCTGGTCACGAGCGGTATGCTGTCTGTACCGAGGCCGCCACTGGTGCCCCCCTTACCACTTTCCCCCGGGACCCGGTGTCCGGTCTGTTCACACTTGACACCGCGACTTCCCCGGCTGGGTCTTCCCCCCAGGTAGCTGCGTCCACCCAGGTTGCTGCTGCGTGCTGCTGTCGGTCCCTCACT